TTTTCCATCCAAGTAGAACTTAATGAGTTAAAACCCAGACCCCGAGTTTGCGAGGTTCCCACGTATCGGCCCGCAAAAATTTTTTGTGGGTAAGTTGCTAACTCGAGAATCAGAAAAGCTAGAAAACTGAAATTTTAAGGGAATGTTTTCTCACAGTCGTGGTGGCCAGTTTCAATTCTTGTGGCTGAAGCATCTGTCGGAGAAAGCAGTGCTGTCAGTGACAAAAACCTGCGGGGAACTGTGCAAGAAGCACATCCTCGCAGCGGCAGTCGGTGCGCTGGCCAGTTATTTTCTTGGGTGCATTGGTAAATTTACTGGATGCAAATTTAGCACTGGTGTACTTCTGTGGTCTGTCAGTGAGAGGTGCGACGGTAGTCAGTTGCCACTTCGGCTTTTGCTGCTGTGAGAGAGACTACAGTTATTATGCATTCTGCACTGTGTAAAGCAGCACAAAACAGATATTGTCACACCTCTGTCTATGTATTTTTGTGTTTTTGTGTATGTGCCCCAGCATATTTTGTCTCGCACTTTCAGCGCGGGAACCACGAAAACTGGAAAGTTAAAGTTTTAGTGCAATGCTCCCCACCCACGTGTAACTCCGCAGATTTAAATTCAGTTGTCACGTACCGCTGGGTACCACCTACGACCCCACGAAAGTTTTGGCGGAGAGAATTATTATTTCGGGAACCGTTGAAGCTGGGAAACTGAAATTTTATGATACCGTCCTTTGCCCAATTTTGGGATACTGTCCGTTGTCCACGGTTAAGTTTAAATCCCAGCCTTTCCTTTCGCTTGGGTACCAAGTACAGTCCTGTGAAAATTTTGATGAGGAAAATTGCTGTCGCGGGAACCACGAAAGCTGGAAGCTGAAATTTTAGGGTAGTATTCCTTACCCAACTACAACCTCGTAAATTCAAATCCAGCTTCGCCTGGGTACCGCGTGCGGCCCGGTGAAAGTTTTGGCAGGGAAAATTATTATCTCGGGAGCTGCGAAAGCTAGGAGGCTGAAATTTTAGGTGAATATCCCCTGTCCACCTTCAGCATCGAAAATTTAAATTCATCTTTTCTTTTTCACTCGGGCATTATGGGTGTCCCCATGGAATTTATGGCGGGGAAAATCACCTGGGAAGCCGCGAGAGCTGGGGAACTGAGTTTTTAGGGTAATGTTTAGTGCCGTGTGCGTCCCAGCGGCTTCAGATTGAGCCTTCTCTTAAGCCTCTGCCTCACATACGGCCCCGTGAAAGTTTTGGCGGGAAAATTGTCATCTCGGGAGCCAGGAGAGCTAGGATGCTGAAAATTTCAGGAGGATGTTTCCTGCTTATGCGTGGGCCTAATAAGCTCAAATTTAGCTCAAGTATTATGCGGCCTCACGCACTACTAAGTAGAAATTTTGGCGTGAAATTTCGGAAGCTAAAGAACTAGGAGGTCGAAATTTTGGAATAATATTCACCGTCAAGGTTTTTAGATTCAGCTTTCACATACATTTGCGTTTCTAATAGAAGATTTCGCAGCATACGAAACAAACAGTCAAACAGTGGAAATTTTTAGGGCAAAAGTCCGTTGGGCGGAACTGCGTAAAGCGCATGGTCGCACGGGCTACCTCGGTGTGCAGCGCCAATTATTTTTATAGGAAAGCGAGCGCGAAGGGTTTGCGACAAGCGTAGGATTTAGCTTAAAGGTAAAATCTGTACGGAAGCGCTGAATGGTATTAATAGAAGATAAATGGGTTTATTTTGGCACTCTGTTTTTGTTCGAAATGATGTCAGTTTTACTAGGAAGCATTTGGCTTCACGTCTCTGTTTTGCCTGGCACCTGATACACCAATGAAATCTGGAGAATTTTTTCAGTATCATTGCAATGTACATTGCCGTGGTTATGCTTGTTGGGCGTATGATACGTGGTATCGTTACAAATGCGCCGCTGGAAGTTATGATTTCTGAAATCCCGAATCCTGATTACTTACTTAAAACATGCCACGATATTTATTTGGTTCGTGAGGCCAAAGATTTTGTTTTGGAACAGGTACGTTTACATTCATTCTTCCTACCTCTCGTAAGGTCCTCTGGCACAGTTTGTCAAAGTACGCTGTTTGCTTATGGCTTAATTGTTATGCCATTATTATTAT